GTGGTAGCCGGAGGTGATAAGGTTGTTACAGGGTTAGGGTTTGCATTAGCCGGGAATATTGTACAATCGCCACCTGTTATAAGAATATCATCAATAGCAATATCTCCACGGTAACCATTCCCACGTATTCCTTCAAAAATGACCCAGAAGTCAGAGCCTGGAACCTTGCTGAGCGAAACTTTACCATTTAACCAGTTATTACCCTGCTGACCTTGCAAAGTCCAAAGAATTTTTTCAGACTTGCTTCCAGATGTTGTCTTTTGCACTACATTAAGGGTTCCAATATCAAAACCATACATGTGATACCAAAACTGAAGGCACCTTCCTTTGGAAGGAACAGCACTGAATGTCTCACTGAAAAATCTTGCCTTGTCACCAGTTCTTCTTGGTGATGAAGCCTCAATAAACATGTAGGTTCCATTGGCAGAATTAGTAGTGTGGTCGTTAGACGGCCCAGTGGTAGATGACAGTGTGTTACCTTTGCCTTCTAACCAATCAAAGTCGTCTCCCTTGCGGGTGTTTCTCCATGTGCATGTTCCCTCCTCAAAGTCACAATTTCCTACAAAGTGAAACAAAATGTTCTTATCACTTCCAGAAGATCTAAATATGAATTCTCTACTCTTGTTTTCATTCTGTTTCTTATCTTTCTTTTTTCACCTTGAATAAGTCTTCAGGTGTTCAATTAAAATTATCATTCGATGGATGTTTTTTCCCCATTTTCATTGTCTGGGAGATCGCCACGTGACCTGCAAATACCTGCCTACAAATAATGGTCTGCTCATGCCTACTGGTTACCATCTAAATCCACTTTTGCTGCAAAAAATATTCTGCTCATGCGCAGTAGTAACCACGCTCTTGTGTGAAATGGCAGATCAAAAATTTGAAAACAAACTCTGTGATCGAATTATCAAACAATTATTGAACTCGGTTATCGCAAAATATCGTGATTTGTCCATGGCAAGCAGATCAATCATTTGCCTCAGCCTTCGGCTTCGGCAAATAATTGATCTGCGAGACACTGACAAATCCTGATATTTTGCAATAACCGAGAGTTCAATAATTGTTAAATATTCTCTCTCTTTCTTCCCATCATCCTTCCACTTGAAATGGAAAGATATTAGAAGGAGGAACTTCAGTTTGGTCAACCTTGAGAGGGAAAAGGGTACGATAACAGAGGTAGGACAACACTGGTCAACAATATAATAGAAGGTGATGGATGTTTTAACAAATATGTATGTCCTTCAGGAACTTGTAAAACTATGGACTGAGAGATGATTGCATGCATGCTTTAAAATTCTCCAGATGATGGTTTTAAAATCCTTACGTGTTTGAATGTGTATTAGTTTCTCCTATAAACTTAAAATGTGCTAGCTAGGTCACACTGCGAGTATGCACCCTGAGTCCCTCCAATTTGTCATTTGTGTGTCTGGGCCCCGCAGTAATTGGCGCAAGCTGTTGCGGTGTCCCTGCCTGTCAGCAAATCTAATAAATTAATTTAAATTAAATTAAATTAAATTTTGACTGTTTGCTACTCTATTGAAAGAAGTCTGAAACAAAAAGTGCATGTTTGGCTCTGAACCCAAAAATATTTGTATGGTCCAGTACCAAGCCTGTACTCACCAGGAGTTGGGCACTTGCCCGGAAATATTCCAACATCATCAATGGCAATATCTCCCGTGCTGCCAGCCACCTGACCCTCAAACGAAATCTGAAATGGTCTTACAGGACTCCACACACTAACTTGTGCAACAAGCCACTCATCACCTTGATCACCAGACCGCCGCCAGATGCGAGCACCAACTGAGGAACCTGTTTTTTTATACACCGCTAGAGTGCCTACTGTTGATCCATACATATGATACCAGAACTTCAGACATTTGGCATTAACTTTGGGCATCTGAGGAGTCAGTAACCTGGCCTTTTTTCCACTTTGAGATTTAGAGCTGTCAACATACATGTAAAACCCTATAACAAAATTTTAGGCTTGTGAGCTCAATGGTACAGAGAGCCCAAACTGAGTGAGTGCATGGAGACAGCCGGGTTACAAGGTCTGGATCAAGAATTAGAGAAGCATACTTGCCATGTAATACAAAGAGATTAAAATATTGCAATACATGAGATTAAAGTTGAAGTTGTTAGAATACATGCCCGGATATTCCGAGCACCCACACTTAAGTTACTCAACGGTATGCCCGGATATTCCGAGCACCCACACTTAAGTTACTTAACAGTTGTCCCAGATTAGAATACACCACAACGTACTACTGCTCACCTGCAAATTTCCTTTGTGGTAAATACCTAAAATGATTATCGTTTCGTTCTAGTTACAACTATCTAAAAACCTGTATATAATATGATTCACTATGTGAAATAAATCAGTTGTTACTCCTAGCATTGGTTGATGCGTCATTTTGTGTCACTACTATGGCGACATCGAACTCTTGGAACCTGACAGAAGTTACAAAAAATATACAATTGTTATATTTTTCGACTGTCTGTGAACAGCTTTCCAGTCACAAAATTACTTGTGTCAATTTTTCAAAAGCAGAAATAGAATAAAAATTTTCATTGCTGGTCCATATGGTACCTTCCGAAATTATTGGCTTGATAGCATTCTTAGCATGCATGATAATATGATACCCATTGAAGAGACAGCATCTTCACCAGCTTCCTTCCCCTTAGGAAAGTTAAATGTCATCACAGACGTACCTGAAGCTGATCCCAATGTGTGATCAGCAGCAGGCCCAGTGTTGGGGGTAACTGTTGCTCCACTGCCACGAGCCCAGTCAAAATCATCAGTTGTATCCTGTCTGTAACCACATATGTGACTTTCTTCATATGTGCAGGAGACTGCAATGTTAAATTTAAAAAAATTCATATTGCAGTTTAGCCAGATATAAAAGCAGACCTCTCTAAATAAAAATTTCACAGACTTTCATCATGTCCGAATTTCCCACATGCTGACAAGTTTATTCACAGCAAGTTCAAAGCTTCCTAGATTGGCAATCACTCTCTATCTTCCTATGATCTTAATGAATGAATGATTCAGCTGTATAATTGCAAGGGGAAATTAGATGCTGGTCACTCTTACAGTTCTAAGGTTTTAATATTAGCTGGGTTTTAGGGCTAATTCACTAATAAGCTACACATAAGTAGGTAGTAATTTACCTCAAACAAAAAATAGTATAAATGTAGTGGTCAGTCATGGCTGATTTTTTTTAAGGGAAACAAGCTGTTCTGACCACTTATTTGTGGTGGGTAAAGGTAAATAGTAACTTGTCCATTCATAGTTTATAGCATTAATTGCCTTTCCAACCCCTTCAGTTTCCCGCTATGATCTGCACATGAGGAGCCTTTGAAAATTCTGTGCGGGGGTCATGGCCAGGTGGCGAGATGTTGAGTCTAATGGTCATACAGTGGTAGTTCAATGTCATAGGACACCGGAAAAAGCAGAAGCCCCATGGACATCTCAGGCATTTGGTTAGGATGAAGTCAGGGTACGAAATTAACTTTTTTGGCAAGGAGCCATCTGGCTCATAAACTTTCCAAAGTGGTCACCAAGGCCAAAAAGCTAGGAGCCATTGAAAAGCAAAAGGGAGAATTCACTTCCCAATATACAACGCAAATTTTGGAAAACCCAAGATGGCGGATGTTGACGTGTTCGGTTCGTAGCATTCGTGACGATTTTGCGTAACATACCTCATCGTTCAAGCCGATTCATCTACTTTAAGCTTTATTTAGTTGTAAAATACATCAAGGTAAGATATACAAAACCCAAAGAGTTCTAGTCGCCAACTTGGCGACTAACTTTTGAAATTATCTTGGTCGCCAGCACAATAATTTAGTCGCATTGGCGACTGTATTTACAGGCGCAATATTGGGACATTCCATTTTTTATCCGCACCCCCCCTATGGAAGGCATTTTTTGGTACTGACAAGTAGGAATCTGTCATCCGGAATCTGGAATTTTCGCCCCATTGGAGGGGGTCGGAATTCGCCCAAAAAAAAAAGGCCCTGGCGGAATCTAAATTTCAGAGAGAAAAAGGCCTCTCGGAATCAGAAGACGGCCTGTCGGTATCTAACTTTCAGAAGAAAAAGACCTTTCGGAATCAAATTTTCAGAGGAAAAAATGGAATGTCCCATTTCGTGCCCTGGAAGTCCCTGTTGGTATTGATTTATTTTACATGTTATCCGATACATACTTGAAGCAACATTACAAGGTCCATCTGTCATAGAAATATCATCCAAAGCAATGTCGCCTTGGTAACTTTTACCCACTGAACCTGACATTACAATCTGAAATGAAATACAGGGTTACAGTGAGTACCTAAAGGCTTTTATTATTTCATTTCTACTTACTGATTAGCTTTAGTATGTGTTTCACACAACTTTGGTTTATGCATTGTTCACTCAGTTATCTACAACATACATACATACATACATACATACATACATACATACATACATACATACATACATATGTTAATTGACCACTCCCCATGGGGGCTTTTCAGGGCCACTTCCCACCCAGCAACCATCCCAGTGGAGGACATCCATCACACATTAATCTCGTGCGCTGGAAATTAATGTCTCCTACCCTTAACCCTGCAGGAGACGGGACCTCCATTTATTCGTCCCTATTCGAGAAGACTAGAGTATCTAACCATTTCTTGACATTATAGAAAAGTAGCATATTCTTCTCACTTGTTTTAAGACCCTGAGTGTTGGTCCGACCTCAGAGAATGCTCCAACGAAATGCCCATTTTTAAAATGAAAATTTCACATAAAGTTTCTACCTTAAAATGATCTCTGCTGTTCACAGTTACTAAGGCCTGCAGCCATTTGTCTCCACGTGTTCCTGTCTTTGACCACAACAATGTGTCATGGGCACCTGTCCTGACGTACACACTGAGGGTATTGATGTCCGCTCCATACATGTGATACCAAAACGACAAGCACTTTCCTTTGGTAGCAGTTGTTGCAGGCATAGAACTACTTATCAGCCTTGCTGTGTCATTTACCTTTCTCGGCCAAGATGCTTCAATGTACACATACCAGCCATTACCTGCAAATCAGTACACCAGAAGAATGTAAGTATAACTAAATGATCAAAGAAACAATTAACACAATAAGCAACTACAGACTCAAGTTAAAACAAGTTGCAAATTAATGCAGTTGGTTTGTGACATTGAACATTTTTGTGAAAATCTTTGTTTTCCCAACTGCTTTTCTTTTTTCTAGAATGAAGTTGCAAAAATTCAAAATTGCTTTTCTCAGTTCATGCAAATGATGACCTAGAGAATTTGAGGAAAAAAACAGTACAAACAACACCATTAAGTGGTCTGTCATGGAGACCTTTCAGAGTAAGTGACAAATCTTGTTGAGTGTTCTCTACCCAACAGGGCAGATGTAGGGATTTTAATTAATCCATTGTCAAGGTAAATTCTAAGTAACATGAACCCGGAGGAAGTGAAATGTTTCAATGTTAAAGACTTGCACCACTGTTACCAGATTACTAACCATTTCCCTTGGTATGGTCAGCAGAGGGGCCTGTTGCTGACGACGAAGTAGACCCAGCCTTCCTTGTCCAGTCAAACTGGTCTGTAGTGTCTTGTGTCCAGGAACAAATGTCTGATTCAAAGTCACAGTTTATGCCAACATTTGCTGTAAAGAATATTTCATGAGTATAAGTAGGGAACCCTAGAAAAAACTGATAATATGATTTGAGTTCAAAATGTAATTTAAAATATGAATTTGGTGATTAAATAGTCTGCTAAGCACAAAATACTTAATATGCAGAATAGTAGGCAAGGACATTGTTTCTACAGTACAGCCAAAAAACAAAATAATGCAGTTGCACATTGTGCAAGAAAAAAAGGCATACATCTACATTAACAATCTAAAGTAATAAAAAGCTCACTGTGCATACCAAGTTTAAAGCTGAAAGCAAAGAGTTTCTTGCAGTTCTTGCAGTTCAGTCAACATATTGTTAAGTTGTTGCATTTTTCAACATGCAACTGCAAAGAGGTTGTTGCAGCCTCTAAGATACAAAATCAAGCAAACCACCATTGACCTTGAAGGGTTCCCCCCCTTGCAAGTACTACAAGAATCTTCTATTTGCATTATTTACATTTGAATTTTCCTCCTGTATGCTAGAATTAACAAATGGTAAACACCACAGCATACACTATTGAGTTATGGATGCACACAGGAGGTTGCTAAGCATGAAAGAAGCGTAAAAGTCACTCGAGGCAATAGCCAAGAGGGACTCTAGCTTCTTGAGTGCTTAGCAAACCTCCCAAGTGCATCCACAATTCAATAGCGTACACTGTGGTGTTTACCATTTGTTTTATAACATAACATTGATACCTTGTAGCTAAAGAGTTCCCTTTTATTTAACAAATCTTACGTGACCAGAAAAAACAAGCACGCGCAGAAAAATAGTCTTTGCATTTGCTCACGTCAGCAGAGTACACCCATGGGCAAATGGGGGATGCTAAATTGACCAATCAGAGCGCGTGCTTTACTTTGGTTATGTTATAATATTCCTTGAAAAAAACAAGTAGGAAGTAGACAAGGTAATAACTTACAAACGATAGGAGTAGTTGTGGCTGATGAAGTTGTTGGTGCTGCAGTAGTAACATAGTTTGGAGCAGCCGATGTTGGACTCAGTTGACAATTTATTCCTGGGAGGAACCTGAAGTCATCAATGGCTATATCTCCTGTATAACTGGTTCCCCTGATTCCCTCAGCAATAATCTATTGTACATGTTAAAATCAATGAAAGCTCGTCAGTACTGGCAGGAATGTGCTGATCTATCAGAGCCTGAATGCTACTCTAATTATATTAATATAAAATTATAGTAACTGACTTTTGTCTTTTGGCAACTTAAAAAACTTAATTAATATTATTAACCTTTATAAAAGCTTCCAATTGTAACACTTCCAAGAACTGATAGATGGATGCTTCACTTTTATCACTACAGTACTATCTTATTCTTTCTCAACCAAACAAGAGAATTCGGTATGAGAATAAAAAAAACACCATCTGACTGATTTGCTCATTTATTCACATCACCAGCTAGTTGACACTTCTGGAGAGACAAGGTTGAGAGCTACTACTCTACTCACCCCATAGTTCAAACAAAAGAGCCCCTTCAGGTGTCCTATGAGTAAACTGAGGGCAGCTTTGACTGACAAACATGTACTATAGCCCCTCGAAGTAACACATACAGCCACTCATTACAAGCAATTACACATTCCGTAAGTCGCACCAAGTAAAGCCCTTCCCATTTTTCTGGTTGTTAACAAAAAATTTTCTGCACCTAAAATGTAATCCTAGTTTAAATCTTATTCTTGTCAGTCTATTCTAAATTCATTATCATACGTACATTACAATACCAAACCAAAAACAAATCAAATCAAGGAAATAGAGACTCTTCTTTACAAAAACATTTCCATGACTCTATCGAAGTTTCCAGAAATCAAGGGAACAATTTAGACATTGATTTACCACATCACTATTTTTATAAGCTGCTAGAAACTTCTCCTTATTCCGGAATATTCTGTTGGGTTATTCTAAGGATACGTCATCATTAGCATCCAGAATGTTCTTGCTGCTAAAAATAATGTTTTAGAAATAGGTATGATGTAATCAACTACAATAAATAAGGTTCGAGATCATAAGATTTAGTAAGGTTTTCAGAAATTTAAGATAACAGTACTGTAAAGTTAGGTTGTAGACCAATAAAGTCTTTAAGTGGAAACAAGAATCTTCTCCTGCAGGCTTCGTGACAATGACTGAGATCTTGCTTAAAACTTAACACTGTAACTTTTTAGCAGCATTATCTGCTAAGACTAGTAATTGTAACATTATCATGGGCTCCTATTATCAGAATGTTCAACTACCTTATATTTAGCCTGATTTCCAACTGGCACTTGTCCATTAAACCATTTTCTTCCTTTATTTCCTGAGAGGGTCCAGATGAGTGTTTCAGCATTACCAACCACTTGATAAAGATTGAGGGAGCCAACGCGTGAACCATACATGTGATACCAGAATGTAAAGCAGTTCTTTGAGGCTGTTCCATTAAATTGTCTACTGGTTAATCTTGCCTTGTCACCTCTTCTTCTTGGACTTGATGTCTCAATGAAGGCATAGACACCTAATGACGACAATGAAGCAAAGAATGTTGAATGCAGAAGCAATGTTCCGATATGTAAAACAAAATATCATCATGCTTGTCATTTGCACACTATTAGTAATTATCTCCTTAATAACCCATCATATATTTCTGCTCACGTGCAATTGGTTTTATATCACATGACCAAATATTTCCCAGCTAAAACTGGGAATAATCCAAAGATAATCCTAAGTGATATTCTCCAGACTCCATATTAATAATTACGCCATAATGTCCATGGACAAATATTGGTGCACATTTTTCTGCCAACTAGAGGCTATTGTTTATTAAATATGACTTAAAGTTGCTCCTATCTTTAAGTTTTTCATCTTCCTTAGAAAAAATTTTATTTTTTTCTCATAAAAGAACAAGTTTTTCCAACATTTTGAAAATATTTAGAAAACAAATCCTGTCACTTTGCTCCTCAAAGACTTCATGACGTCACGGGTAAACAAGTGGTCTACACATATCAGTTAACTAATTTTGATAGTCATTGAGAATTATTCTCTATGTCATTCCTCTGTCATCCTACGAAACCACTGTAATTCTCATCATTATCACGATCATCATCATGCATCATCGTCATCATCATCACCATCACCTGCTTGGATAACAGTTTGACTTGGGTATTGCCTGGTGCATAAAATACTTTTCACAAACCTTAACAAGTTGTTTCCTCACACAATTTTATTTGTGTCCTTACCAGACAGATAGCACTCAATAGTGAAAGCAAAGATAATGAAGACGCTTTTATATATCTACTTGCTGCCACAGTCTAGTACCTTGAGAGGAACCCAGGCGATCTGTATCAGGGCCTGTAAAGGAACTTAGTGTCCGTCCCGATCCCCTGATCCAATCAAAATCATCACCAGCCATATTAATCCAAGTACAGAAGTCATTCTGGAAATTGCAGTCCCCTAAAATGAAGTTTCATTTTTTTTAGTTCCTCACAATAAGTTCGTGGTGTTTATTACAAATACCCATGAGACAACAAAACCTTTCTCTAAATGTTGATGGCCTGCCCTGTTTACTTTTGATTTGGTTCCTTATCATCGACCAATCCATCTTTTAACCCTTTGACCCTGAGGAGTGCATGACTAGCAAACTAATTTCTCATTACAATATCAACCCTGAGTCACACAATAAGGTCACAAGAATAAAAGAAATGATCATCAGCTAGAATTAAGACTCTTGATTTTTAAAAGAATTCTTGTCAGCACCTTGGGAAATGGTTTACCGAACAGTACTGTTCAGAACCAATGTTAGGGTGTACAGTGTAAATGGTTAAGGCCGTAAGCTACAAACAATGATACAGGAGAAAAAAGGTTCACTAACCAGGATTTGAACAATGGCCTGGAGACATTGAAATATCATCAATAGCAATGTCACTTCTGACACCAGATCCTCTAACTCCCTCAAAAACAACCTGTAACACTAAAAACAAACTTTTCATTAACAAGCTTTATATTACCCTGCGTGCAGAACCTTTTCTTCCAATGGAAAAGGCTCTACCAACATCCTGTTGTTGCTTTGAAATGCCGAAAGCCCAAAACTCCGGGCTAGTCAAGCTGGTTTTGCCTCCAGTTTTTGTGAGTGGAGGAAAAAAAATTATCTCAATTGTGTATCATCAGAATAAAAAGATAATTATTGCAGCAATATTACTGACAGCAATTTAATTCTTATTTTAGGCATTCACAATTTTTTGCAAAAGATTGGAGGAGAAAGAAAGATCAGTACTTGGCACAGTAAGTTTAGAAGCTAGTACCATTTACAATAACAATTAATTGTATTTAATAAAAACAACTAGTGACCTGACAACACTACTAACAATCTGCGATTCAATCTAAACTTTCCTGAAGAAATGAAAGCTATGATAACCAAACTTACAGTAAATTGAGCTGTGCTGTTTAGTGTGACGCGTCCTTTCAGCCAAGTCCTTTGAACACCCTGGTCACCTGTAACAGTCCAAATTGTATTTCCAAGACTATTGCCAACTTTCTGATAGACATTGAGAGTACCAAGACTTGAACCATACATCATGTACCAAAACTGAAAGCAACTCTCTGCAAATGTAGCCTTATTGTAAGTTCTCATAATTCTGGCCTTATCACCCCTATTTTGTCCTGAAGCTTCAAGTAACATGTAGTAACCTGCAGAGAAACAAGGAAAGTTACCTTGTAAGCTTTTTACAGCAGTATAACACAAGCTCCCATAGAGAAAGGAAAATTCTGAGTCTCCATGAGGAATATCGAACCTCGGACCTTCAGACTCTGCACTTTGATGCTCTACCACTGAGCTACGGAGACTTTATGGTGAGCAAGATCTATTATGGAGTTCATAGCTTTCCTTCATATGGCTAGGATCAGCAATTTCGATAGCATCATGTTTTGTAAATAGAATTAAAAGGATACCAAAGTGTTTACAACCATGCCCTGGGTGGGTCTCACTTTGATTTAAGGTTGTTAGGCAATTAACATACTCTTACAGTAGCCATCTCCACCCTGGAATAGGATCAGACAATTGTAACCAGCTGGCATGGGCCGGGTTGTTCAAAGAGCAGACAACATACACAATCCAACATATAGATCATTATCCAGGATAAGTGTTACCAAAATGTACTGCTCTGTCCACTGGATAAGAGAATTATGCAGTAGATAGCATTATCCAACCTTGGAACAACTGGGTCCTGGTTAACACTGTTACTGAGTCACTAAACTGTTGGTGACCAGAATTCTAGCCAGGTCTCTGACAAGCAACTACTTTGCAGTCTCGTCGACTGTTTTCATTGATGAGAGAATCAGCACACAAGAAATGACATGACAACAATGAGGATAGCAGTTTACAGGAAAAACCCTCACCAAGGAGATTGAGAAATACCATCAACTGGTTTTCCTAGGTGAGAATATATATAGTTATCAAAAAGTTTTATTGACGGAGTTGGATATCATGGGTACATACATTCAGAATAAGGCTAGGTGATAGCCAAAATTACCAACTGAAGAAATCACTAATATTAACAGCAGCTTACATAATTTATTAATCATTCACTTTATCAGAATAAATAAAACCTTACCTCGTCTGGATCCATAGGAGTGGTCAACACTTGGTCCTGTTCCTGAGGTAGGTGTGGGACCCTTAAATCGTGTCCAGTCAAAGTTATCTGTGTTGTCCTGTGTAAAGCCACAGATATTATCTTGAAAGTTACATGGGTCTCCTGCAAACAGACATTAAAAGTAATTCACAAATTTATGGGCAAACTTGCCTTCACATGCACACTCTAAACAACAGTCCAAATGCCTTAACATGAACAATAAACATAAAAGAAATTTGAAGATTGTATGCTTCATAAAGCTCAATGTAAAGCATCCCTTTCTAAATGGTAGCACATGGCAAGCTGCCTTAACTATCACTTCAAGGGTCTGTATTATATAGTGCTTCAACTTCTCTATCTTTTGTACCTCACATTCTCCGTTTTTAGAATTATAGAATGGCCCCTAGGAGGTGTTATATTAATTGCAAAAAGAACATGACACATGATACAGAACTCCACTGCACTGCTAGACTTTCAAAGGACCAACATGTTGGCTTCCCAACTATCATGAACACATCCCGAGATGTACAGGACAACTCAAGGCTAAATTACCAGAAATCAGGTAGGAAAAAACACATTTAATGAATATCAATAGCATACATATCACTTACAAAGAAAAAAGAGGTTAACACAGTCTAACCACCTGCTATCTAAATATGATAACTTGATAATGACTGTTGAACACTCAGATCACCAAATTGGTGACCTTTTATAGATACTGCCATTAATATAATTTAGCTCCCAAATTTTTTCCACTTCTTATGGAAACCATAACAGTTTTAGCTAACAGTGCCTCACAAACTATCAGCTCATTCAAAAGGAGTGAAAAGAGTCATTGCCATTCCATGTTCCACGTGTTCCACACAGAACAAGCACCTGAGGTTTTCACCTAGACATCTTTTCTTTTCCAGAAAGTGTACACAATCTGTCTACAAATACCACTCACCAGTGTAATCACATAAGCCAGCTGATAACTGAATGTCATCCACAGCAATATCTCCTTGACCATTTGCTGCTACTATTCCGTCAAAAACCACCTAAAAAGACAAGAAAAAAATACCCAGATAACATTACACCCAACACACAGCCACAATAAAATATAAAAAATAAAAAAATACTGCAGCTGTATTTCGACACAGACACGATAGCTCTCTATGGTTTTTACAAAAAATACATGATAAAAACTGAACACACCATCTATATCTTATTCATTAGCCTACATATTAAATCAGAGGTGTTTAATTGGTTTAAGAAAACTGTTGGCGAGTGATTGTGCACATTTATCCTAAAATTAGCTTGAACATTTAAGCATAGAAAAAAAAATATTCCTTAGTCCAGGAACTGGATGTTAAGTTTAAAGGCTGGGAAAGGTAAATCAACATGTGGCAATTATAAGAATAAAGTGTTTTTAGGGGATTCTGAAATGAGAAGTCAGAAAACAATAAACTTACAGAATAAGACTGGCTCATTACAACATCAACTTTGGCCAGCTGCCACTTGTTTCCTTGTGTACCATTCTTTGACCAGATGGGAGATCCAAGAGATGTTGTGTTGGCATACACATCCAGTGACCCTAAACTAGGCCCATATAGGTAATACCAAAACTTCAAGCACTTTGTGGTCTTTTGGGACACAGAAACCATTGGGCTGGAGATGCGCGCACTATCTCCATTCTGCTTTCCAACTGCCGCAATGTACATAAATCGACCTGCAAGAAGCAAACGAAATTAGGGTAAATGTAATACAAAATCACCTTCTGGGTCTAGAAAACAGACCTTC